TCTCTCTCATATCATGTAATGTTATGTTTTCCTGGTGAGTGTTATCTAGTTGCTCCCACAGACTTGGTGGTGATTATTCTTCATTTCTATCATCACTGTATCATGGAATGTGCTACCTAGCATCTTCATGACTCTGAGCCTAGGGTATACATATTGGATCGAATCCTTGATTTACTGAGTTCCACACTGGATATCTGTGCCACTTCCCCCATTTCCTGCTGGGAATCGCTGAGCAGCTGTGGTCTTGATGAGCAATCCTGGGAACATTGGAGCTTACCTTGTACACTCTTCTGATATTTCAGTCTAGTTGGGGTAGGGTTTGCCCTTTGGCACTCGAGACATTGTTTTTGGGCAATACTGCTGATGGCTGTTTTAGCATTCATTGAAAGAGCTGCAGTTTCCAACATGGTTTTCTCTCCTCAGTGTTCCTTCACAGGATGGACAAGGTGTCACATTTCAGTAAAAGTGAGACATAGTTAATATCTTTAATTACTTGGAATGTCTTTGAAGAAACAGGAGATGTGACAGCCAGACCAACTCATTATGGCCAGGTGTTGATCAATGTTCTTGTGCTTATCTAGTCAAGTGTTTTTCAATTTTAATGTGCATTTGATTCTCCTGGAGTGATGGTCCAAACACAGTTTCATAGGCCCTGTCCACAGAGACTCTGGTCCGGACTCTGGGATAGTATCTGTGGCTCTACATTTCTCTTAAGTTCTCCAGTGAGGCTGATGTGCAGGTTCAGGGAGCAGCCCTGTGGAGCTGCTGGATTTTCAAGTCCTCACCCACATGCAAGGCTGTGACCCAGTGAAGGAAACTCTCTACTGCTCATTCTACAGAACCACTAATCCAGCATAATGGTTCACGGCATTACTATCATACTAATACAATCAGAAAGAGGTTAAATGTCTAGGCTAGAATAGGTCTCGGAATAATCTAGGCAAGTTTCAGAAAAGGAGGACAGTCAAAGAATACATTTATAGACAGTATGAAGCATGCTGAGATGTCTTTGCTAGAAAAGATTGTGAAAGTGGAAATCTTGAGTCAAGACCACGCACATTTATTGTACACATTGTGCACATTCCTGAAGTGACAAGACCTGGGGGCAGAGTGATCGAGACAGTGTCTTTGCTTGTACAATTCTCAAGCATGGATCAGGATATCAGGGAATTTCTCTTCCATACACAGCTATTTAGAACTGGAATGGACAACTTATGGAAGGCTTCCAATCCAGCTTAAACTGAAAAGGAAATTTATGTCATTGATAACAGGTTATTTTTTTAAATTTTATGTGTATGCATGTATTGCCTGAATGTAGATAAGTGTACCTGTGTCGTGCAATGCCCGTGGAGGACAGAAGAGACTGTCGGATCCCCTGGAACTGGAGTTACGGACAGTTGTTAACTGCCAGGTGGATGCTGGGATTCAAACCGAGGTCTTCTGCAAGAACAGCCAGTGTTCTTAACCGCTGAGCCATCTGTCCAGTAATGCTGGGATTCAAACCGAGGTCTTCTGCAAGAACAGCCAATGTTCTTAACCGCTGAGCCATCTCTCCAGTCCCCCATAACAGTTTTTATTAGTTCTTTATCAGTAAAGTTGCCAGAAGAAAACTTTTCAGTGAAAGATATCCATACCTTTTAATAGAATTATAATATTAAGAAAATGTTTATTAATAATATTGTATTAACCCCACAGAAATCCTGCAAAGTTAGA